ATCATCATCATCATCATCATCATCATCATCATCATCATCATCATCATAACACATCATCAAGATTTCAAGAGATCATCAAGATTACTCCTTGTGTCCCTTGGGGGCCATTGCAGGACCAAGTGCAAAACGTCTGTCCCTTCTTGTGGTCAAAGGCATTCTTTTACAGTTGAAGAGAACATCCACTGGGCGAAGTGACATTAAAGTTGCACTTTCACATGTAATACTAAAATTAATTGAAGTATTGAAACCCTTCCAAAAAGAATCGACACGCTGCTTACGACGACTGGTGGGTAAAATATTGAGTTATTTAAAATCAATTGTTCAGGCCGAATGTGAGTGTGGTTTGGGTCTATCTGAGCTATCTATATGCCACAGACTCTTTTGCACCAAGCGAAGGGACCAAAGACTCTAGATCCCTCTAAGGAGCATGGCAGCCAGATTGCCTGAAAACCCACAGCTCCCACCATCTTCAAGCCCTTTCAGAGGCGAATCCACCCAGATGGCATCCCTTCCCGATTCAGATCACCCCCTGAGATCACCGGATGCGCCCCGGCACATTTCTTCTCGTTGGCGCCACAGGTCACTGGGCAGCCCTCGTCCTTGAAGATGCAGCCCGTGTTCGGGCAACGTTCCGCCTCTTTGCCACCTGGCCGGCAACGTTCAGCGATCCAAGGTGGGTGGTCAGCACCACCTGCAGTTCGACCCTTTTAGGATGAGAAGAGCTGATAAGCCACTGAACAGTGGCATCTCCTGAAGCACGGTTGAAGATAGAAATGTACGATTAACATATAAAACACCTGAGGGCTTCTTTCCACCTCCATGCTTTGTCGAGCCATCTGAGTTCCGCACAGGGGCAATTTTCGTGGCTGGTGGCACACTTCACAGAAGGAGTCACAAAGCCTGGAGCAGCGTGTTCACGTGTTTGGACGGGTAGATCAAGGGTGTTTTGATTGAGAACACACCAGTTGTGGCAAGGAAATCACATTGACCCCAGGTCAACCACCCCAATGTAATTAGGTAAACATGTAAATGTATGGGAAATGGAACCTCATGTTTTTTGTTGGTTGGCCTCCTTGTGCTACCGACTGGTCACGTTTCCCCATTTACGCACAGCCCGATTTCTCATCCGATGGAGGTTTCTGCGGCAAAATTAGTTGCGGCACTGCTTGACAACTGGGTCATCTGCAGCAGAGAAAATGAGTAGGGTATATTTCCCAATCAAGGCTGCAATAGATGACCTGTTGATTGATGGTCATCCCAGCCTTGTTGATTGCTGGTGCTTGATTTCCCAATCAAGGCTGCAATCAACACATAGTTGTGCCCACCGAAAGAACCTTTCTTTGTGCTTTCAATTGACATTGGACACCTGGCAGACCGATTATACCGTCCACCTCCGGTCATACACCATGTATATAATCAGTGTCTTCTAAGAAAGACGATCACCGTCGATCTCTCTCGTGACCCAAAGAGTGTCACATCGCAGTCCAGAGAGGTGGTGTCAAGTGGTGTCATCCGCCCAAACCTCCGAGTTCTGCTGCAGCTGCAGATGCAGCTGCTGCAGCTGCAGCTGCATCGTCAGCCCAAAAACCGCAGGACTTCTGCTGCCATGTCGCCCAAAGAGGTGCCGTTCGGCAAGTAGTCTTCCACCAGATCACACGCCACCTCGCCCTGCGCGGCGTGGTGTGAGTTGGAGGAAGATCCGGAGGAAGGACGATCCACCTGTCATGTTCAGTACTGGTTCGTTTTACAGAAACGGGAGGTTTCTGTCGGGAAGTCGAGATTGCATGAAAACAGGCAGTAGTACAGGACTGTACCATTGTGTGCGTCTAGTGACTAGTGACTCACTCGGCTAAAAATATATTAACATGTCCTTCTCATGGCTCCGAACCATTCAGATCCTTCCTGGAAATCATTGACCTAAAAGACTTCAGACTTCAGACACTCTTAAGCACTCCTCGGTCCCCTACTCAACCTTTCCTTTCGTAACCGTAGCAGCCCGATGCGGATGCGGCGCGATGCGGCGGCGCGCCGTGGGACAGTCGGAGGGGCAGTAAGAGTTAGGGCCGCTGGTGGGCAAGCATTCAGTCCATGAGCCCCACGTCCTGAAGTTTCAGGCAGCAGTTTCAGGCGACGTCACCTACTCGTAGACAGTTCATCAGCGATTTGTTCAGGGCAGTATCAAACTAAACTCCTGGTGTTTTTTTGTGTTACTTCCGATGTCTGTCTCAGGTACTGTAATGGAAAGACCGGATTAATAACCCCCCCCCCCCACATGGTAGGTCAACAAGGTCAACAAGGAATGAGATAACCACTCATGAGGTCCACTCCCCCTGAATTGTCGGCTCAGGGAGCCATCGTAGTCGTAGTCGTCGTCGGTAGTAGGTAGTAGGTAGTAGGTAGTAGGTCGTAGGTCGTAGGTCGTAGGTCGTAGGTCGTAGGTCGTAGG